CATCATCTCTGTTATCGTCAACTTTGTTATTGTCAACTCTGCTATCGTCAACTCTGTTATCATCAACTCTGCTATCGTCAACTCTGTTAATATCAACTGTCAGTTGACTGCTATCGTCAACTCTGTTATCATCAACTCTGCTATCGTCAACTCTGTTAATATCAACTGTCAGTTGACTGCTTTCGTCAACTCTGTTATCATCAACTCTGCTGTCGTCAACTCTGTTATCGTCAACTCTGTTATCATCAACTCTGTTATCGTCAACTCTGCTGTCGTCAACTCTGCTGTCGTCAACTCTGTCTGTTATAGTCAACTCTGTTATCATCAACTGCCAGTTGACTGTTATCGTCAACTCTGTTATCGTCAACTCTGTTATCGTCAACTCTGTTATCATCAACTCTGTTATCATCAACTGTCAGTTGACTGCTATCATCATCTCTGTTATCGTCAACTTTGTTATTGTCAACTCTGCTATCGTCAACTCTGTTATCATCAACTCTGCTATCGTCAACTCTGTTAATATCAACTGTCAGTTGACTGCTATCGTCAACTCTGTTATCATCAACTCTGCTATCGTCAACTCTGTTATCGTCAACTTTGTTATCATCAACTCTGTTATCGTCAACTCTGCTGTCGTCAACTCTGCTGTCGTCAACTCTGTTATCGTCAACTTTGTTATCATCAACTCTGTTATTGTCAACTATTATCGTCAACTCTGTTATCATCAACTCTGTTATCGTCAACTCTGTTATCGTCAACTCTGCTATTGTCAACTCTGCTATCGTCAACTCTGCTATTGTCAACTCTGCTCTCGTCAACTCTGTTATAGTCAACTCTGTTATCATCAACTGCCAGTTGACTGCTATCATCATCTCTGTTATCGTCAACTCTGCTACTGTCAACTCTGTTATCGTCAACTTTGCTACCGTCAACTCTGTTACCGTCAACTCTGCTACCGTCAACTCTGTTACCGTCAACTCTGCTATCGTCAACTCTGCTACTGTCATCTCTGTTAACGTCAACTCTGTTATTGTCAACTCTGCTACCGTCAACTGCCACCTCTGTTATCGTCAACTCTGCTATCGTCAACTCTGTTATCATCAACTGCCAGTTGACTGCTATCATCATCTCTGTTATCGTCAACTCTGCTATCGTCAACTCTGCTACTGTCAACTCTGTTATCGTCAACTCTGTTATCGTCAACTCTGCTATCGTCAACTCTGCTATCGTCAACTCTGCTATCGTCAACTCTGCTACTGTCAACTCTGTTATCGTCAACTCTGTTATCGTCAACTCTGTTATCGTCAACTCTGTTATCGTCAACTCTGTTATCGTCAACTCTGTTATCGTCAACTCTGTTATCGTCAACTCTGTTATCGTCAACTCTGTTATCGTCATCAACTCTGCTATCGTCAACTCTGTTATCAGCATTTCTGTATTGTCAACTCTGCTATTGTCAACTCTGTTATCGTCATCTCCGCTATCGTCAACTCTGCTATCGTCACCTCTGCTGTCGTCAACTCTGCTGTCGTCAACTCTGTTATCGTCATCTCTGCTATCGTCAACTCCGCTATCGTCAACTCTGCTGTCGTCAACTCTGCTGTCGTCAACTCTGCTATCGTCAACTCTGTTATCGTCAACTCTGCTATCGTCAACTCTGCTATCGTCAACTCTGCTATCGTCAACTCTGTTATCGTCACATCATCTCTGCTATCGTCAACTTTGTTATTGTCAACTCTGCTATCGTCAACTCTGTTATCATCAACTCTGCTATCGTCAACTCTGTTAATATCAACTGTCAGTTGACTGCTATCGTCATCTCTGTTAATATCAACTCTGCTATCGTCAACTCTGTTAATATCAACTGTCAGTTGACTGCTTTCGTCAACTCTGTTATCATCAACTCTGCTATCGTCAACTCTGCTATCATCAACTCTGTTATCATCAACTCTGTTATCATCAACTCTGTTATTTTGTTATCATCAACTCTGTTATCGTCAACTCTGTTATCGTCAACTCTGCTATTGTCAACTCTGCTCTCGTCAACTCTGTTATAGTCAACTCTGTTATCATCAACTGCCAGTTGACTGCTATCATCAACTCTGTTATCGTCAACTCTGCTATCGTCAACCCTGTTATCATCAACTGTCAGTTGACTGCTATCGTCAACTCTGTTATCGTCAAAGCTGTTTTCAACAACTTTCAGTTGACTGCTATCATCATCTCTGTTATCGTCAACTCTGCTATTGTCAACTCTGCTCTCGTCAACTCTGTTATAGTCAACTCTGTTATCATCAACTGTCAGTTCACTGCTATCGTCAACTCTGTTAATATCAACTGTCAGTTGACTGCTATCATCATCTCTGTTATCGTCAACTTTGTTATTGTCAACTCTGCTATCGTCAACTCTGTTATCATCAACTCTGCTATCGTCAACTCTGTTAATATCAACTGTCAGTTGACTGCTATCGTCAACTCTGTTATCATCAACTCTGCTATCGTCAACTCTGTTAATATCAACTGTCAGTTGACTGCTTTCGTCAACTCTGTTATCATCAACTCTGCTATCGTCAACTCTGTTATCGTCAACTTTGTTATCATCAACTCTGTTATCGTCAACTCTGCTGTCGTCAACTCTGTTATCGTGAACTTTGTTATCATCAACTCTGTTATCGTCAACTCTGTTATCGTCAACTCTGCTATTGTCAACTCTGCTCTCGTCAACTCTGTTATAGTCAACTCTGTTATCATCAACTGCCAGTTGACTGCTATCATCATCTCTGTTATCGTCAACTTTGTTATTGTCAACTCTGCTATCGTCAACTCTGTTATCGTCAACTCTGCTATCGTCAACTCTGTTATCATCAACTGCCAGTTGACTGCTATCATCATCTCTGTTATCGTCAACTTTGTTATTGTCAACTCTGCTATCGTCAACTCTGTTATCGTCAACTCTGCTATCGTCAACTCTGTTATCGTCAACTCTATTATCGTCAACTCTGTTATCATCAACTGTCAGTTGACTGCTATCATCATCTCTGTTATAGTCAACTCTGCTATCGTCAACTCTATTATTGTCAACTCTGTTATCGTCAAATCTGTTATCGTCAACTCTGCTATCGTCAACTCTGCTATCGTCAAATCTGTTATCGTCAACTCTGTTATCGTCAACTCTGTCACTGCCAACTCTCTGTTATTTTTGTTAACTTTGTTATTTTTTAAATAGTTTAAAATGCATTACAGTTCAAATGAAACAATTCTGCATTTTTCACATTAATAATAAATATAGTTTACAGCAAATGACACATTTGTAGTTTATAATTCCAGTTTAATAAAAAAATTAAAAATAAAAGAAAATGCTTGAAATGCACCTGCAGTCTGATTTACCTGTGCTGTTGTTCTCCAGCTCTGTCTGCCATGTGTTCGGCACAGCAGGACTGTCGGCGTGGAGCCTGTTACCCAGCAATGGATGATCTGCTGCTGGGTCGGGAGCAGAACCTGCGGGCGTCCTCCACATGCGGTCTGATGGGCTCTGAGGTGGTCTGTTCTCCACACGGACAGGTCAGACGCACCTACAACACAAGCACAGTCCATGTAGACACATGTACACTTGAGTTTAAAAGCAATATTGGGTTGGATTGATTTTTTTAAGCTTCCGTCTGTAGTTTGACATATAGACTCTAATGGTCAGAAGGGGGAGGTGAATTGTCTTTCTATTAATTTTGCTCTATACTCTTTACCTCTTTACCGCAAAATTTCCAAGAGAATTGGGAAAATAATTTTAAAAAATTTACTCCTTTCATGCAAATTAATCAGTTTTCCCTTAAATTCGTACTTTTCTCATTCATATTATCCCAAATTATTACATTAAATTAAAGAAAATACAATTCAATCATTATGACTTTGTATAGCTTGAGAGGGTTTTCGTGTCATTCCCTCATTTCTGGTTTTCATGGTTTGCTGGCAGCAGATGTTTGAGGCATAACGAACATGTTTATTCAGGTTATTGCTGATGTTTTGCAGTGGAATGAAGGAGAAGTGAAATATTCACACAGACGTACTGTTCTCTCTTCGAGACATGATGAAACAATAATTAAGCAAACCCAAATTCACCAGCCTGAGGCCACATAATTGCATAATTTACCTCTAAATGCTCCTTAGTGAAACAAACGTCCTACAGAAACCATCACAAATAGCTCAGTGGTTTCCTCTACAGACAAAAGCTGTGAAAATGCTACAATCCGTCAACTTTTAGCCAACAAAATCAGCACATTTTAATGGTTTCTAGTGTGTTTTTGAACATAACATTAAGATTTAGTGGTTTTAACATGAAACCCATATAAAAGAGAGCTTACAATAAAACCAAAATAATTCCCACATACTATAAAAATACTATAGTATTACTAACCATTCTATAATAAAGTACTTTTGGTAACAAATAAATCTAAAAAAAATAATAAAATAGTGACACAGTGGCTTAGTTTTTAGCACTGTCGCCTCATAGCAAGAAGGTTGCTGGTTTGAGTCCCGGCTGGGTCAGTTGGTGTTTCTGTGTGGAGTTTGCATGTTCTCCCTGTGTTGGTGTGGGTTTCCTCCTGGTGCTCTGGTTTCCCCCACAGTCCAAACACATGCGCTATAGGGCAATCGATCAACTAAATTGGCCGTAGTGTATGAGTGTTTGTGTGTTTGTGTAAATGAGTGTGAATGAGTCTTTCCTAGTACTGGGTTGCAGCTGGAAGGGCATCTGCTGGGTAAAACATATGCTGGATAAGTTGGCGGTTCATTCCACTGTGGGTGACCCCAGATAAGTAAGAGACTAGGCCGAAGGAAAATGAATGAATGAATATTAGATAACTTAAATATATTTTTAACAATTCCTTGGATTTATTGTTATATGTTTATTTGATGTAGGTTAATTATTATTTCACTTCAAGAAACAAAGCGGTTTTATTATTAATGTTTTAGTTAACTGTTATCACCCTGGATGTTTTTCTTTGCTCTACTCTTTATCTCGCAAAACTGAAGTTTCAAGAAAATTGATAGTTTGGCGGTTCATTCCGCTGTGAAGACCCCTGATGAATAAAGGGACTAAGCCGAAGGAAATAAAATAAATAAAATAAATAAAGTGCTTGCCTTAAATCTACAGTTGCTATGGTAAAAGTAAGACAACAACTATAATAACAAATGACCCAATACAGTAGTTTTCCAGCTATAGTTTATATAATATACCTCGATACACCACAGTTTTCTTTAGTAAAAATAAAAGTATACTACATTTATTACAGTTTTTCAGTATAAATGGTTGTAGCTTTAAGCAAAACTGCCTGCTTAATGACCAAATTAAATGTAGATAAGACCTACACTTTTTAGGTAAAGGTTTAAAAACACTACAGTATAGAGTACAGTAGCCTATAGCATTTAATTTCGACATTATGCAGCATTCAATATTCATTTATGTTCACCTTTTCCCAAATTCTGTTATTGATATTAGAGAACAAACGTTGATATTCATATGAAGCATACCTGCAAATGCTTTAGGTCTTCTTAGCAACATATTAACGTCTAAATCGATGTTTTTCAATGTGTTTCAGTGGAAGATGAAATGTTGTCCGTGTGATTCTCGCAATCCCGCGGCGTACAACGCACACACCATCCAGAACGTGATTTCCAGCGCCGGACCGAACCGATGGTGGCAGTCCAAGAAAGGTAAGACCTCGAAAAAAAGCATCCGTGATACAAAAACAACAGTGCTATACTAGCTAAGTTAGCAAGTTTCTTTACATTTCTGTAATACAATTTCTGACATAGGTTAAATGACAGGAGGTCCTCAAAACGAAACTTACATGTAATTATTGTGTTTTAGCACCATTTTGGGTCATTGATGAGGTAAATTATAACTCAGTCAGGTCATATTTTAACTTTAAACGGCGTGTTTACTACAAGTTACTATAGTAACAGCTGAGCGCGCGAAAAATATAACCGTCATTAGAATCAGAAACTTGCTTCATTGACATAAATATAGTCGCTTAATACTTTTTTGTATTTTAAATGATAATAAAGCTATATATAAATAATCATACACAGCACAAAAGACTGTCATTTATCAAAATGTTATGTTTTGTTTCCAATAATATTGCTCTTTAATAATTAATAATTTCCCTTTTCTTTGTGATGTTGAATTTAAAAAGTCATATAACGTTACCTGAACTATAAGCAATTGTTATAATAAAAAAAGTTTGGTAATTAGAATTCAATTTGATAATTGTATTTTATTTAAATACATTGAATTAATTTGGACAACATGGTGCCTCGGTGGTTAGAACTGTGGCCTCACAGCAAGAAGGTCGCTGATTCGAGTCCCTACTGGGTCAGCTGTCAGCTCTGTGTGGAGTTTGCATGTTCTCCCCGTGTTGGCGTGGGTTTCCTCCGAGTGCTCAGGTTTTCCCCACAGTCCAAACACATACAGGGGAACTGATCTACTAAATTGGATGTAGTGAATGAGAGAGTGTGGATGTTTTCCAGTAGGGCTGGGCGGTATATTGGGTACTGAGGATATATCCATATGATTCCCCACCGCGATGCGGTATTAGGGTTAGGGTTATCCAATATTGTTTATATCGATATGCTTTGAGGCCACACGTGCGCATTCTGTGTGAAACAGACCACTCCAAGGTAGGTAGCAAATCGTTCAATAACGACCCATCACTGACGCGACATGAACATGCAGTGCCGGTGTGGTGAAAAATCTATCTGACTCCCCGGACAAATTTGACTCAGGAATGATTGAGTAAATTATTTTGTAAATTAATGGTAAAGTAAGTTTGAATTTTGACAACTACCGCATGCAGATTATAAACAGTACACACTTTTAATTAAATCCATTTAAATGTATTATTCAAGTCAATATGTAAACCGCTCCATTACGCAATACTAGTCAATAGTAAATTTACAATAGCTGACAATAGAGTTCATGATCAACTGTTGATGTGATGGCTAATTCCAGATGTAAATCCTGTGACGCTGCAGCTGGATCTAAATGGACAGTATCACCTGGAGACCGTTTTCCTCTCATTCAAGGTATCTGATACGCTTCAATATATTTATTCAATGTAAAATGTCAAATTTAATGTCGCATTTAAGGATTCGTCCCTGTCTGTAGGGCCCGAGGCCTGATGCGCTAATCATCGAGAGGTCGAGGGATTACGGTCGGTCTTGGCAACCCGTCCTCTACATGGCCACCAATTGTCCGTCCACTTTTCCTCGGGTCAGCACTTCGTTTCCTCGCAGCTTTGAAGAAACGTACTGCTACACGCTGCCGTCCACCGCAGATGACCCCTACAAGGACCAGAAGGTACGTTTAGATAACAAGCTTTGGCTTGCAGTACGTTAGATGGAAAGTTTTCCGCAATGTTCTGGGAACGTTAGTTTATGGTTGCCAGGGCGTTATCGATTGGTTAAAGTTCTCTTAAAGAGACAGTTCACTCAAAACTGAAAATATACTGTTAATTAACCCAGCCACAGGACATCCAAGACGTAGGAGACTTTCTTTCTTCAGTAAAACATTACAGCAGGTATTTAGCTGAATCTGCTGTTCTTGGTGATTCATAAAATGGCAGTGAATGGTGACAGGTTGTTTAGATTAAAAAAAAAACGCATACAAACAAATCCAAATCAACCATTATTGATTTGGACTTGTTTGTATGTGTTTGTTCCCATGTCATGTTATCAGAATATTAAAATAAACTAAAAACAACTCACCTTTCAAAGACCACCAATCACTTCACTGAGCAACAGTCAGGACATAATAACAAACCCATATCTCAGCAGAGTCCGTCGTGGTTTTGGGTCCCCTTGAAACATTTCCGTTGTGTTACACCTTTAAGTTCTTACCCTCACTAAAAACTTCCTGCAATGTTCTGGGAAGGGGAGTTTGTCTATACCAAGTAGTAACCAAATGGGCACCAAAGGGAGCCTGATTAGATCATTTACTCTTCCAGATGTCTATTTAAGGACCACATCTCATGCTTGCCAAATTAATACATTTATAATTGTCTTCTTTTCAGATTCACTTTTACCCTCTTCGTCAGTTTGCAGACATCAATCTACCCAACGAATACAAAATTGAAGGTGAGATTGTTTTGAATTGATCCAATTAAATGGTTATGCTGGGTTATTTTTATTTTAATTGATTTTGATAAGAACTGATGGAAATGATTTAATCCCAAATATCTGAATCAACCTGCCGAAATCGTATTTGATTAAAAAGCTTGTGAATTGGATCAGTATATTACAATTTTAATTTATTTTTATAAATGCATAATTTTAAATGCCACATTTTAGTTAATGTTTCAATTACTTACGCATAAACACACTTATAAATTATAGATGGTACTAAATGTAATACATTTACATGGTTGTTTGTCGCCACCTATTGGTGTAATAATGAAGCTGCTACAACATTCATTTGAAGCGTCAAGTTGCTTTTAAACAATGACATTAATATTTACCATAAACATCATTGTTTATATCACTATGGACTGCTATTCCAGTACTTTTAATTGATGGTTTGTGACTCACAAATTAAGATTAAACATATGTAAATCGGGATCTTTTAACAGGTGTTTGAAGCGAGGTCACAATTTAAATTATATTAAAATAAAAACTTTAAAATGATACATTTTTAAATCAAATTTTTATAGTTGAACAGTTTGTGGTGTTAGCGGCTGCAATGACAGATGCAAAGGGTCAAGCCCCGCCCCCTGATTATAATAATGTTAAAACTAACCTTCAGACGGCTGTTTTTTCTCCTCAGTGGCGTCCGGGTTCACTGGTCTGCGGGTCAATCTGACTCAGCTGGGTCCGGTTCCTAGTCTGCCGGGTCGTGGTCTGAGTCAGTATTACGCTCTGAGAGAGATGAAGGTCATCGGCTCCTGCTTCTGCCATGGACACGCCAACCGCTGCCTTCAGGACACCAGCAACAACTACCTTCCTAACACACCGGTAAAACACACACACACACACACACACACTGAACTTTAATTTTACACAACATGTATATTTTTTCAAAATATTTTGGAATTTGGAACTTGCTGCAAAGCCATGTCTTACCAATTTGTTCAGCAAATGTAAAAATGGTATTACAAAAATTAGTAATTAAGTCGCTACAGCACTGACATGACAATATTTCTATCAGTTTCACTTCTATGTTAAAACAGTCAACAGAAATGAAACCCTGAGTCTCTGAGCTTTCCAACAATCATTGTTTTGTCCACATTTGATTATATAATAATGCAATCAACTTGGTCAAATGGAACCGCCCGCTAGGGGGAGTAAGGCAGTAATGTAGAGTGTTGTGGTACTGGGACAGGTAGAGTTAAGACTCATTAAGTCAGCATGTAATTGAAATTAAGATTGTCCTTTTTTCCCACATTGTGAAGTACATGCGATTGATATCATAATTTGGAGACTGATTGGATCGTTGGGAGATGGGTGCTGCAATCAAAATGGAGGGAGACAGATAATGGATAAAGGCAGAGCAGAAACAAAACACGCACTGATAGCCCCACCCTTAAAAACTGATATTCCTGTATAAAAGAACTGATATCCCGCCCTAAAGAACTGATAGCCCCACCCTAAATAACTGATAGCCCCACCTTAAAGAACTGATAGCCCCACCCTAAATAAATGATAGCCCCACCCTAAAGAACTGATAGCCCCACCCTAAATAACTGATATCCCCACCCTAAAGAACTGATAGCCCATTCTAAATAACTGATATCCCCGCCCTAAAGAACTGATAGCCCCACCCTAAATAACTGATATCCCCGCCCTAAAGAACTGATAGCCCCACCCTAAATAACTGATATCCCCGCCCTAAAGAACTGATAGCCTCACCCTAAATAACTGATATCCCTGCCCTAAATAACTGATATCCTCGCCCTAAAGAACGGATAGCCCCACCCTAAATAACTGATATCCCCGCCCTAAATAACTGATAGCCCCACCCTAAATAACTGATATCCCCGCCCTAAATAACTGATATCCTCGCCCTAAAGAACGGATAGTCCCGCCCCAAATAAATGATCCCCCCGCCCTAAATTACTGACAGCCCTGCCATAAATGACTAATAGCCCCGCCTTAAGGGACTAATAGCCCCGACCTAAAGGACTGACAACCCCACCATAAATTACTGATAGCTCCGCCCTAAAGGCATTCCATGTGACTATGATATTTGATGAAAGATTCTGTGGGCAAATGAATATTTACAAAATAATAAAGTGCACAGAGACATCGTTTATAACACGCACTACTATATATACAAGTGAAGTGGTTGAGTTTTGATTCCATGCCAATTTTAAACTCACTTATAGTGTGTGTGTGTGTGTGTGTGTGTGTGTAGGTTGGCGGTATGTGTGAGTGCCAGCACAACACAGCCGGTGTGAACTGTGATCGATGTGACGACTTCTATAATGACCTTCCCTGGAGACCAGCGGAGAGCGGAAACACACACGCCTGCAAGCGTACGTCTGCATACAAACACTGCACTATTATGAGTAGTGTGTGAGTAAAGAAAGTTGTGAAAGCATAATAAATAGTGTCAAGAGTATAAGCATTATAGTGTGAACATTATAGTGTGAACATGAGTGGTCTGTGAGTACCATTGAGGAGGACTGGAGTGTGTATGATTAGTCTGAGTAGTGTGAGTATGAGCAGTCTGTGAATTGAATGAGTATGAGTGGAAGGAGTATGAGTACTCTGGTAGTCTGAGTATGAGTAGTGTGAGTATTATTAATAGTCTGTGAGTATGAGTAGAGTGACTATGAGTGGTCTGCGTGTAGTGTGAGTATTTGTGGAGTGAGTACAAAAGTATGAGGAGTCTGAATAGAGTGAGTATGAGTTGTCTGAGTATAAATAGTGTGAGGATGAGTAGTCTGTGAGTAGAGTGCATATGAGTAGTCTGAGTATGAGTGGAGGGATTACAAGTAGTCTGAGTAAAGTGAGTATGAGTAGTGTGGGGATGGGTAGTCTGTGAGTATGAGTGCATACGAGTAGTCTGATTAGTCTAAGTTTGAGTAGAGTGAGTATAAGTCGATGGAGTTTGAATAGTCTGAGTAAAGTGAGTATGTGAGTAGTCTGAGTATGATGGGAGGGAGTAAGATTAATCTGAGTAGTTTGAGTATGAGCGAGCATGAGTTAAGTTAGTATGAGTAGTCTGAAAAGAGTGAGTATGAGTAGAGGGAGTATGAGTGGAGGGAGTATGAGTAGTCTGAGTATGAGTGGAAGGAGTATGAGTACTCTGGTAGTCTGAGTATGAGTAGAGGGAATCTGAGTCAAGGGACTATGAGTACTCTGAGTGCGTATGACTAAAGTGAGCCTGAGTGGAATGAGTATGACTAGTCGGAGTATGAATGTAGGGACTATGAGTAGTCTGAGTAGACCGAGTATCAAGAGAGTGAGTATGACTGGAGGGAGTCTGAGTAGCGTGAGTCTGAGTGGAAGGAGTACGAGTATTCTGAGTAGAGAGAGTATGAGTAGAGTAAGTATGCGTGGAGGCATCATGAGTAGTCTGAGTATGACTGAAGGGACTCTAAGTAGTCTGACTAGAGTGAGTATGAAGAGAGTATGACTTGAGGGAGTATCAGTGGAGTGAGTATGAGCGGAAGGCGTTCGACTAGTCTGCGTACGAGTGGAGGGAGTATGAGTAGTCTGAGTAAAGTGAGTATGAGTAGAGTGCGTATGACGTGGAGCGAGTATGCGTGGACAGAGTATGAGTCGAGTGCGTACGAGTGGAAGGAGTATGACTAGTCTCAACAAAGTCAGTCTGAGTAGAGTGAGTATGAGTGCAGTGAGTATGATTG